TTGAAGCAATTGTGAATGGAAGTTCATTCCTGATTTGGCTCTCTGTTTGTCTGTTACTGGTGTATAAGAATGCTTGTGATTTTTGCACATTAATTTTGTATCCTGAGACTTTGCTGAAGTTGCTTATCAGCTTAAGGAGATTTTGGGCTGAGACAGTGGGGTTTTCTAAATATACAATCATGTCATCTGCAAACAGGGACAATTTGACTTCTTCCTTTCCTAACTGAATACCCTTGATTTCTTTCTCTTGCCTGATTGCCCTAGCCAGAACTTCCAACACTATGTTGAATAGGAGTGGTGAGAGAGGGCATCCCTGTCTTGTGCCAGTTTTCAAAGGGAATTTTTCCAGTTTTTGCCCATTCAGTATGATATTGGCTGTGGGTTTGTCATAAATAGCTCTTATTATTTTGAGGTACGTTCCATCAATACCGAATTTATTGAGCGTTTTTAGCATGAAGGGCTGTTGAATTTTGTCAAAAGCCTTTTCTGCATCAATTGAGATAATCATGTGGTTCTTGTCTTTGGTTCTGTTTATATGCTGGATTATGTTTATTGATTTGCGAATGTTGAACCAGCCTTGCATCCCAGGGATGAAGCCCACTTGATCATGGTGGATAAGCTTTTTGATGTGCTGCTGAATCCAGTTTGCCAGTATTTTATTGAGGATTTTTGCATCGATGTTCAAGGGGGGAGGGGGGAAGAATTGCATTGGGAGTTATACCTGAAGTAAATGACGAGTTGATGGGTGCTGACGAGTTGATGGGTGCAGCACACCAACATGGCACAAGTATACATATGTAACAAACCTGCACGTTATGCACATGTACCCTAGAACTTAAAGTATAATAATAATAATAAATAAATAAATAAATAAATAAATAAATTTGTAGAGACACATGAACCACAGGGATCTCAATAAAAATTACTGAAGTTGAAAAAAAAAACAACAATCTATTCTTATGGATGAATGCATAGTATATCCTTGTTTTAATTTGCATTTGCTTAATTTTTAATAAAGCTGAGCATCTTTACATCATTTACTGGACATTAGTATTTCTTCTTTGTTCAATTCTCAATTTCCTTTACCTACTTATACACGCAATTGTTTGAGTTGATAAAGCCCTTTATAAATTAGGAATATTCATGTTTCATCTAAATATTTGGTCATATTTTCTCCTAATCTGTGACTTATAACTTCATTATGGTATATTTTAGTGCTTAGAAATTTTTAGCCTTCGTTTTTAATCAAATTATTTATTTCCTTTAGAACTTCTAGGATCTGTGAATTTCTTTCTAACCTGTTAGCTAAACATTGTCCCAAATTTTCTTTTGGCATTCTTTATATATATATATTTATTTTTGTTCTGAATTGTATTTTTCTTCGTGATATAAGTAGGAATATCTTTTTCCGGTAGATACCTAATTCTTTTCATAATTTATTAAATAGACCACTCTAACTAATTTGAATAGAAAAGAAGAGGAGTGGAACAGAATAGAATATAAAAATGAATGTATCCCAGAGCTCAAACTACATTGCCTTAATAAGTGAAGTTTTATTATGTGTTTTGATATCCACTAGGGCCTGATTCTACCCTTATTCTTTTTCAAACTGCTTGTTAGTTTCCATGAAAAATGTAGGTAGGATTTTATTTTTTATTGCCCTGAATTCATAAATTAACTTAGGATAAACTGATATTTGCAGTTATTTAGGAATGTGGATGTCTTCATAATATTAAGGATTTTAATCCTGGAAAATAATATAGCATTGCACTTTCTTCAGGGCTTTTTGTACTCATCACTTAGTTTTATATAGAGAAAAATTCTTTTACATTTATGGCTGGTAATTACTAAGTATTATTTTGATCATTTTGTTGTATTTTCTAAATTGTTTTTGTATATAGGTATTGAGTTTTAAAAGCTATATCACTTTACTGAACTCTTATTAGTTCTAGTAGTTTTTCTGTTAAAGCTGTTGGATTTTCCAAGTAATCAATTGTTTAATCTACAAATAACGACTTCTGGCTTTTCTTTTTCAATAATTTGCAGCGTTTTCTGCATGCCTACTTAATTTATGAGTAAGCTGAAGATGAAGAGTATATTACATTATTTATTTCCTTTTTTTTTTTGAGACAGAGTCTTGCTCTGTCACCCACGCTGGAGTGCGGTGGCCGGATCTCAGCTTACTGCAAGCTCCGCCTCCCAGATTCACGTCATTCTCCTGCCTCAGCCTCCCTAGTAGCTGGGACTACAGGCGCCTGCCACCACGCCTGGCTAATTTTTTGTATTTTTAGTAGAGATGGGGTTTCACTGTGTTAGCTAGGCGGTCTCGATCTCCTGACCTCATGATCTGTCCACCTCAGCCTCCTAAAGTGCTGAGATTAAAGAATGAAATGGTGGCATAGTCATCTCATTGCTAGATGTCTCAAAAATTATACACAGTATCATTTTCCAATATGCAGTCCTACTGTTTTAGGTTTGTTTTATTTAATTTCAGAATACCCTCAAATGAACTTTATAAACTAGCCCAAATAGGAAAGAATATTATGATATCAGAGTGTTTGGATTCCTGGAAAAAAAAATGTGGGGAAGGAGTTATTTATTTGAAACAGTTCTTTCATACTTACTTTATATATAGGCACACACATACATGTTTATTTACTTACTAGTACTAGTGAAATTGAGCAATATTCCAGAATGAATACTATTTAAACCACTGTTTTGCAGTCATAAACCTGGACCTATTAGCAGAAGTAGAGAAGTGATAAATATTAATGAATAATTTCCAGTTATATCTGCCAGTGATTTCCAGGACACATGAGACCCAGGCCCAGCTAACTCTTATTTTATGTGTAAAGCTTGCTCCTATAGGCATTTTCCATTGCAGTATACTCAACTATCAATGTTTTCCAAAAAACTATAGATATGTGTATGTGTGTGTATATATATTTTGGTCTAGGGTCTTATATTTGAAAATATACATTCCTTCTCTTCTGCACTCAAATATGTGAATTTCTGTTTATTCTTCAAGACTCGGGTCAAGTATCTTTGCCTTCACAAAATTCTTTACTTTCTCAGGAAAATTAAAAAAAAAATAGTTGGTATATTCTACTTTTATATCAGTTACCACATTTTAAATTGTAAGCTACTAGAAACTATTCCTTCTCCAGTGCCTAGCATGATGTCAAGCATGAGTTTAGAACTCTAAAATATTGTTGAATGAATAAATGTGAATAAGCAATTACTAAAAAATATAAAAGGAAGTGAAAGATCAAAAGGGTTGTCTAAGAGAAAGTTATAAGTATGACAATTTGAAAAGAATATTAGGCCAGGTGTAGGGGCTTAAGCTGGTAATCCCAGCACTTTGGGAGGCCAAGATGGGAGGATTGCTTGAGCCTGGGAATTCAAGACCAGCCTGGGCAATATAGTGAGACCTCGCCTCTACAAAAAAATTTTAAAATTTAGCTGAGTATGATGGCATGTGCCTGTAATCCTAGCTACTCAGGAGGCTACAGTAGGAGAATTACTTGAGCCCAAAAAGCAGAAGCTACAGTGAACCTACCACTGCACTCCAGCTTGGAGTGCAGAGCAAGACCCTGTCTCAATGAAAAAAAAAAGAAAAAAAGAAGAAAAGAAAAAGAGAAATATTAGCATGGGAAACATGCTAATATTTATGAAATATTGTGAAAAGAGAAATAAAAGCACCAACCCCATACTATGGAAATGTGCATTTTGATGCAATAAGGTTGACTATGGTGGAGAAACATGGTAGAGACCAAATAGGGATCCAAGTGGCACGAGGCTATGAAAACATGTTGAAAGTCAGGAAGAAAAACAGTACCCACTCAGGTACAAATCCTACAAATGACACTATTTTGAAAAGCATATACCATTAGGAGCCACATTACATCTGCTCCTATATATGCATATGTATTCTTGGTTTATAAGTTACCATATGTAGAATACAGGAATTACTTGTTTTCCAATAATATAATGTAAAGTGTCCATAGACCAGCAGGGCCAGCTTTGTAGGAAATAGACATAATTTCTTTAATCTTTGGCCTTCTGTTCTGCCTTCTGTTTTTACTGTATCTTTTTATAAATATTATTTTAAAGGCTAATCCTAGACTGTACGATTTTTGGGAGGACACAGTTTCCTTAGACACAGTTTAGATGCATAATAATTATTGAATTTAATTGAAAATGCCAGTGTTTGTTATGTATAATAATTGGACTTGATTAATTATACATGTATTTCTTTCATATATTTCTTCCTGTATTAAGAGAGGGGTTGGACAATTACTTCGGTTCCTTTTAAGATAAACATTTCAGCAGAAATAAGGACAATCAGGTTTCTTATGGCTATATCTGAAGGCCACATTTAGTTGTCTTTTAAATGATGTAGGTAAGAAATAAACAGCTGTCAATATCCTGTTTGCTGTACAGCCCTTGAGCGATATTTTCATAATAATTTCATAGAAAGTTTCAATGATGATTTAACTTAAATGTATATGCAAGTAAAATGAGGGATGACAAACAAGAGCCCAGGACAGTGTTAGAATGGAGATCAGGTTCAGCAATCCTGTGATTGAGATAGCATGATAATACTGACACACTGCTACTTCAGGGCTAGAGGTTTAGTTTGGTTATTTGCTTAGGTAGCTTCAAGATGCTTTACCTTAGTTTTATTGGGAAACAGCAGAGCGTTGCAGCTAATATGGTATATTCTGATTCTATAAAAGATGATAAATATTGCTATTCACATAATGTGTTCTGTGGCTACTTTGTCTCTTAAAAGTGGTACTATCACTTATACATTTTAAAAATTAGTAAGTTACTTTTATACTGACTCAATTTTCCTTTTCTTAACATCCCAATTGATTTTAAAGGCAAAACAGTTGTTTAGAAGAAATTCATCACGTGAATGTTTAAACTTACATAGTTTGGAATACTTGGCAGTTTCTTTTTTTCTGTATTATCATCTTGTTGGCCTCTTACTACAGGTTTTCAACACATACTCCAATGAAGACTATGACAGGAGAAATGATGAAGTTGACCCTGTGGCTGCTTCAGCTGAGTATGAACTTGAAAAACGTGTAGAAAAGCTGGAACTTTTCCCAGTGGAACTAGAGAAAGGTTCGTGAGTGCTACAGTGTTAATATCATTATGTTGCTATGTTAATAATACAGAATTATTTTTCCAAAGTGTAGCCTTTTTTCTAAGGATTAGATAAAATTTTAATTCTCACAGAGGATCTTATATATTAAGTTTCAAAAACAGTTGATATGGATTCTGAGTAGATGGTGGATTGAAAGTTTTACTCCCAACTGAAACCCATCTATCTTAGCTGGCTGGGATGGTGGTTAGGACCAGGGAGGTATGAGTGAGGCCTAATGCTTTGTTGGTATTCCTGGAAAGGGCTGCTACAGCTGAGAGCCCAGAAAGGGCTGGTATATGAGAGCTTGGGGCAGATGGTTGTTTTCTTTTGTTTTGGTGGATAATTGGAAAATTATGGAGATTTTTAATGAAGGCAGTAGAATCCAAGGAAATTTTAACAGTAGGGCTACATCCTCTCCATCTCTGAGGGGAGAAGGTTGAAAGAGAGCAGGGAGAAGAGGGAGCAGAAAGGCTTCCTTCTGATTTCTCTCCCTGGACTAACACCCTGCTGACTGTAGTTACTGCTGACCCATGGGATCAGAGATTGCAATGTAAGATGTAAGATGGGCACCCAAGAACTGAACTGTCACTCAGTGAGCAGAGAAATAACACCTCTGAGAGATCTTTGAAAACAAAAGAGTAGAACAAACAGATGATAACTTGAATAACAAGAAAAAAAGAAACAAAAACCTACCCAAGGATATTCAAGCATGGTTTAAAAAAAGACATTTGCAAATGATGCCTCTAACAAAGGACTAATATTCAGAATCTATGAGGAACTCAAATAACAACAACAACAACAACAAAAGAAACCCATTAATAAGTGGGCAAAGGACACGAACAGATATTTCTTAAAAGAAGACTTACAAGCAGCCAACAAACATGAAAAAAACACTCCACATCACTAATCATCAGAGAAATGGAAATCAAAACCACAGTGAGACACCATCTCACACCAGTCAGAATGGCTATTATTAATAAGTCAAAAACAACAGATGTTGGTGAGGATGCAGAGAAGAGGAAATGCTTAGATACTGTTGGCGGAATGTAAATCAGTACAATCTCTGGAAAACAGTGTGGAGATTTCTCAAATAATTAAAAATAGAACTATCATTTGACCAAGCACTCCCACTACTGAATATCTACCCAAAGGAAAAGAAATGATATCAAAAAGAGACTTGTATGTTTAACAGAGCACTATTAAATGGAAATAGTCTTGGAAATAGCAAAGTCATGGAATCAACCTAAGTATTCATCAATAGATGACTGGATAAAGAAAATGGAGCATATATACACTATGGACTACTGTGCAGCTATAAGAAAGAATGAAATCATGTCTTTTGCAGCAACATGGTTGGAGCTGGAGGCCATTATCCCTACATGAAATAACTCAGAAACACAAAATTATTTGCTGCATGTTCTCACTTATGAGTGAGAGCTAAACAATGGGTACACATCAACATACAGAGCAGAGTAATACACACTGGGGACTCCAAAAGGTTACCAGGGTGGGAGGGGGATGGGGCTTGACAAATAACCACTTGTCGTACAATGTGAACTATTCATGTGAAGGTTACACTAAAAGTCCAGACCTCACCACTATGCAATATATCCATATACCACACCTGCACATGTACTCCCCTGAATTTATAAAGATTTTTAAAAAGACATTATTGAGCAACTTAGCAACAAGAACAAATTACTTGATTTTGAAATGAAAAATTTCACCAGGAGAATTGAAGAGGTTAGTTGTTGTTGAGACTTAAGTTGGCAATCTAGAAGATGACGTTTAAGAGATGTTCCAAAAAGAATTCTCAAATGACAGAGCAAAAATCCAAGAAAAGTCATGAAAGAGCCCCAATATATAAGTTGTAGGCAACAGAAGGGGAAAATGACAATGGAGAAGGACAGACTAATAATAATCATACAAAAAAAATTTCTTGTCCTTAAAAAAAAAAGATCTGAGGCATATATCAGGAAGAGCTTATCCATTTGTGAGTGAGAAGGCTAAATAACCCCAAACTGATCTCACACTTAGGCATAGCCTGGGAAAAAATCCTAATGTTCAAAGGCAAAGTGAAAAATCTTAAAAAATTCCAGACCAAAAAATACCCAAGCAAATAAACAAGCAAAGATACTTGCAAAGGCAAAATAACTAGACTAGCATCAGACTGCAACACTAGAAGCAGGGAGATGTAGAAATAATTTTACATGCCACTGAGGGTGAAAAGGATGGTGATCCAAGAATTCCATATCCATCCTGGTGAAAGAAAGACATCTGCTGCTATCTAAGGATTTAAAGAACACATTGCCTACATACTTTATCTGAGTAATTTACTGTCCAGTTTAGCAGGGAGGGAGGGAAATAAAGAGCAGCTTGTTCAAAACAGCAAAGGCAAGGAAAAAAGAGGTGAAAACTATTAAGTTTTAAACATACAATTGCTTAAATGAAAAAGTATGAAGAATACTAGTCATATTACATCAAACATGACTGATGGATTACTCCTGTTAAAAGACACTTTCATTTGGGGTTAAAGTGAATTAAAGAGTAGTGCTTACATTTTTCATACATTTTTAAATGTAAAAGCCATTCTTAGTTCATGGGCTATACAAACCCAACTGGGCCATCATATTACTTATTTTAGTATAGCAAAAAAACGAGAACAATCCAAATATTCATCAGTGGTAGAAAGGGTCTATAAATTGTAGCATACCTAGGCAATAAAATATTACTCAGCAGTGAAAATGGAGGTGCTACAGTTCATGCAGTAGTATGTATGATTCTTAACATGTTATCGAGGGAAAGTAAAAAATAGCAAACCACAGAAGAAGACATTTAGTGTAATATAATTGCATTTACTTACATTTCAAACCAAGAAAATTAAATAGCATATTGTTTTGGGATACACAAAAGAGTAGTTTTTAAAAAGTAGTATTAAAAAGTAGGGAATGATTAATACAATATTTACTATAATGGTCACTGAGGAAAGAATCAGGGAGGGATATATAGTGGGCTTTTATGATGTCAGTAATATTCTGTGTCTTTGTACATGGACATTTGTTTTATTTTTATTGTTTAAACGTAATGTTTTGTAGATAAGTATTTGCTTAAACTCATTTGTATATTGCCATATTTCATACAAAAAACTAAACTAGATAAATCAAACTAGAAGATAACCAAATCAAATACAATTATTGGAGATTTCAATATATTTCTTTCAGAACTGGACAAATTTATGGACAGAAAACAAAAATCAAGGAGTGGGTTAATACAATGAACTCTATTTCAAGCTGTATTTTAAGAGAAAAAGTTTTATCCTTTGGAAAAAATTTTAAAAGTTCCTTTAATATGAGAATTTGGAAATTACATAATACATTCCTAGGTAGATATTTGATTTAAGAGAAAATTAAAACTCATATCCCAAACCATCTTGGAAAGGATTAAACTTAAAAAGTCTGTAGCACACAGCAAAACCTTTACTCAGAAGAAAAGCTATATCCTTGATTTCTTTCTTTAAAATAAAAAAATTTAAAAAGTAAACAACGGACCTGTCTTAGAAATCAGAAAAAGTAAACCAAATAAACAAACTAGCAAAGAAGAGTAGTATATGTAAAAACAATATTAATAACATAGAAAGGAAAATCTAGTAAAACAAGGTAATAAAAATCCTTTTCATTGAATACATCTATAAAATATATCAATCATAATACTGAGTGGTGAAAATTGAAAGCAAATTTATGCAAACTAGGAATGGAAGACAAATATATAGTGTTACTAGAAAAGATCAGTCAGTCACTGCATTTCTTTCTCAAATGAGGTGTATGCCCAGAAATAATTTATGTCCTAACAAAATTTGAATTACCAGAATCAACTTTAGTAAAATAGACTAATTGCCATAGAAGAAACGAGAATGGCAACGAAAGATAAAACATTAAAATGTTGTCAGAACTGGATGATTCTATTGTACCTTTAAAGAACACATAAAACCAGTGTTATTTAAACTATTTTAGATCGTAGATGATGAAGGAAAACTCTTCATTTCGTTGAAATACCATATAAGTTTACACCCAAAACTAATGTACTACAAAAAAGATTGCCATGGTACAACTACAATTGTGAATATATATTTTAAAATTCTAAATGAAATAAAATATCAAATATAGAAATAGTTAAAGAGAAAAGGCCAGGTACGGTGGCTCATGCCTCTAATCCCAGCATTTTGGGAGGCCGAGGCGGGCAGATCACGAAATCAGGAGGTTGAGACCATCCTGGCTAACCCATGAAACCTCATCTCTACTAAAAATACAAAAAATTAGCCAGGCTTGGTGGCATGCACCTGTAGTCCCAGCTACTCAGGAGGTTGAAGCAGGAGAATCGCTTGAACCCCGGAGGTGGAGGTTGCAGTGAGCCGAGATCGTGCCATTGCACTCCAGCCTAGACGACAGAACGAGACTCTGTCTCAAAAAAAAAAAAAAAAAAGAAAGACTCATTAAGATCAAATGGGGTTTTAGATACAAGGATCCAGAATGGTTCATTATTCAGAGATTTATCCACATAAAATTTAAAGGAAAAGCCCTTAAATTTTTAAAATTTCATGTTAAATTGATATGAAAAGATGTCAATTTGGTAACATTTACCACTTGAAAGACTCTGTAAATTAGCACGTGATGGAAGCTGCCTAAATTTATGCAAACTGTCAATCTGCAATACAAACAATTCTATTTCTAAATTGAGTAAACACTAAAGATATTTTAATTAAAACTAGAAATCAAATTTGTAATGCCCTTTAAATGAAATGACCAGTATAAATAACAGCAAATAAAAGATGAAAAGCATCACCTTTTGCTGATATATTCATATCCATATATATCTAGAAAACCAAACTGATTCTAATTTAAAATATTAAATTTGGTAAAATAATCTGTGAAGGAAGAGGTTACATCCAAGATATGTATACAAATCATTTTTTTCTTTGTAATCACATTAAGAATTTAGAAATGAAAATGGGAAAAATATTTCATTTGCAGTAGCACCAAAACAACAAAATATTTATTACTAAGAAAAACATGGAATTTATCTAAATAAAGTAATAACATCTTTTTGAAAGACATTTCAATTTGAAAGCAAATTGTAAGACAAACCATATTCTTGGATGAGAAGACTCCAAATAGAACTGCCAACAAAGTTGGGTTGGGAGAGGAGAATTGCAAAAAACAGTATTAAAGTTTTTTGGTAAAATTTAAGTCTGGAGAAATTCAGACTTAAGTATGAAAAAGAATATGAATGACTTAATTTACCACATATCTAAATACAATGTAAAGCTTTTGTAATCAGAACAAATTGTATTCAAATGGCAGTTGATTACTGGAACAAAATAGAAAATCCAGAAAAAGATGTTAGTATGTGTGAGAATTTAATATATGACACCCATGATATTTCAGCTTAGAAGTAATTGTGTGCTTTATAAATTGTTCTTGCATAACTGAGCATCTATCTGGAAGAGTCTAAAGTTGGACACCTTCATTATAGCATAGGTAAAAATAAATAACTCTACATGGGTTAAATAATAACATATTGAAGATGTCATAAAGAAAATTCACATGACTGCATGTATCATCTAGGCTTGTGGCAGAAGAGGCTTACCCAAAATGGGAAACCAGAAGTTAGAAAATAAGCTTTGGGCTCCATAGTATGACAATAGTGTCTTCCACAATGACATAGTTCCACTGGCTTTGCCATCATTTTATGGCTGTTTTGCCTTAGTGCTTTGCTTGTCCCTAGGAATGTATAGAGAGGAAGACAGGGTGCAGCTAGGTTCTTGATGGGGCAGCCACAGGAGTAATAAGTGGCCTTTAAGGATGAGGCTCCAGACTTCACTCATCTTAGAGAAAGCTGTACATAAATAAGATGCTGGAGAACATCAGTCTTCTGGTCTCTGTGCGTTGATTGTGCTCTTTGTTGTATTGCCCTTCAGTCATCACGTTGTCCTTGTAGGTAATTTGCATTAGAATTGAGGATGGCTTAAGTTAATATTGCTTTTTCTGCAACTGGATTTTCAGCTCTGCAGATCTTAGTAATTTCCAGTTAAAAGCAATGAGAGGAACAATGGAAGGAAGAAAGAGAATTCTACCAAGACGTGAGTCGAGGCAGATAAAATGGATTTAGAAACCAAGAAGTAATTTTCACTCAAGATAGTTGCAGGAAGAAATTATTTAATGGTGTGACAGTATGGAGAGTTCACATTTGAGAGGAGCCCTTTGTACAGTAATGAGTATGGGAAAGTTTGACTCACAGCTCTATGTTGGTTTGACATGTGATAAGTTATAATGAAGAGAAACCCTGTGAGTATAATGAAAGTGAGCAAGAATTCAGCAAGAATACCAATACATATAAACACCAGAGATTTCATACAGGAGAGAAATTCTGTGGTATTTTTCAGCGTGGGAGAGGCTACTTTGATCGTCTCTTAAACAACACAAGAACAATACACTGAGGGGAAAAACGTACGTGGATGTAAACACTATGGGAAGGCTTTCAGCAATCATTCATCCTTCATCAGTATGAAAAAAAATTCATTTTCTTGAGAAACCCTATGAATGTGATGAATGTGAATAAGAATTCAGCCATCTGCTAACCTTATACACAGAAGAGAATTCATGGTGGGAGAGAGGAAAACCCTATGCATGTAACCAGTGTGGGAGAGCCTTCAACACACATCTAACCTTCATGTACACAAGAAATCTCATTCTGTGGAGAAATTTTAAAACTATAATGAATGTAGAAAAGTCTTTAACAAGATAAATCCTCTTGATGAAATCAGTCTTTATACCAGAGAAACAATTTGAATAAATAGGAGAAATCACATGTATATAAACATTCTAAATGTAATGGATGAGGAAAGTCTTCAGAGATTATTTATGTTAGTCAACATTAAAGTTTTCACACTAAAGAGATACCTATGCCTAGAATCAATGTGGAAGTGCCTTCAGCAGGGGTTTGCATGAGGAAGCTCATCCAGGGGAAACACTGTACAGATTCCTTTAGCATACAGCTGAGCAAACAAATCACACTTTTGCCAAGTGACATCTTTTAAAACATATATAGAATAAAAATGTAAGATTGTCAGGTGTACTTGGAAATACTTCAGGCATAAGCTGGTGGTAAGTAATAATGTATGAGATGAACCTTCATCCAAAGAATACTGATTACAAGAATCCTGACTGGGTATGGTGGCTCATATCCATAATCCCAGCACTTTGGGAGGCTGAGGCAGGAGATTGCTTGAGCCCAGGAGTTTGAGACCAGCCTGGGCAACATGATGAAACCCTGTCTGTACAAAAAAAAAATACAAAAAATTGCCCAGATGTGATGGCACATGCATATAGTTCCAGCATCTTGGAGGCTGAGGTGGGAGATCACCAGAACCCAGGAGGTTGAGGCTGCAGTGAGCCATGATGACATCACTGCACTCCAGCCTGATCAACAGAGTGAGACCTTGTCTCAGAAAAAAAAAGAAAAGAAAGAAAAAAAGAAAAAATACTTAAGAAAGTAAAGGTTATTGCTGAAAAGTCTTTTAAAAGTGTCATTCTGTTGAGTATATGGACCAGTATTTCTTTAATAATCCAGTGCTGTTGATTAATTAGTATTTTTATGCTACTAGTAAAGCATGATTACAAAGACTTGAGACTATCAGAAAATAACCTTGAACTTTAACTAAAACATGTGGCACACAATATAGTGTACCTTTTATATATTCACAGAAAGGACAAATGGAAATATGGATAAACACGTGATTTGTAAGTGAATTTAAAAAAAAAAACTGTTACACAGTATTGTTCATAGGACCAGTAAAATGGAAACAAAAGTGAGTACCTATGAATACAGAATGTTTGGATACATGATGATGCCATCTCACCATGAAATATTATTCAGTCATTAGAAATAATTTAGAGCTATGAACATTGAGGACATTGATATCCATGACATATTTTTTTATTTTTTATTTTTTTGTCTTTTTTTTAGACAGGGTCTCGCTGTGTTGCCCATGGTGGAGCGCAGTGGCATGATCTCAGCTCACTGCAACCTCTGCCTCCCAGGCTCAGGTGATCCTCCCACCTCAGTCCCCAAACAGCTGGGACTACAGGTGCGCCCCACCATGCCCAGCTAAGTTTTCTATTTGTAGTAGAGACAGGGTTTCACCATGTTGCCCAGGCTGGTCTTGAACTCCTGGGCTCAAGGGATCCTCCCACCTCAGCCTCCCAAAGTGATGGGATTACAGATGTGAGCCACTGTGCCCAGATGCTTCATTGGTTTTTAAAAAGTAAGCTGTAAAGAGAAGTAGTTGTAATCTCACTTGTGTAAGCAAATAACAAGGAAAAACAAGCTATATATATACACACACACACACACGTATATATATTATATATATATATACACACGCACATTCATATATGTCTAAGTGAATGTATGGATGTATTATAGTTTTTGATGAGTATATATTCTTGGGTATAGAAGCACAGAGGAAAGTACTCAAATACACATACTATCTTATTATTTTTTTTTTTTGAGACAGAGTCTCACTCTATTACCCAGGCTGGAGTGCAATGGCACGATCTTGGCTCACTGCAACCTCCGCCTCCTGGGTTCAAACGATTCTCTTGCCTCAGCCTCCAGAGTAGCTGGGACTACAGGTGCCTGCCACCACACCCAGCTAACTTTTTGTATTTTTAGTAGAGACAGGCTTTCACCATGTTGCCTAGGATGGTCTTGAACTCCTGGCCTCAAGCCATCCACCTGCCTCAGCCTCCCAAAGTTCTGGGATTACCGACGTAAGCCACTGCACCCAGCCACATGTGCTATCTTATTAACATGAATAAACAAGTAAAGAAGAAAAGACCATATAAATGAAGGAGGAATTCCAGATACGTTATGATCACATTTATTTAAAATTATATGTTTGAATGTGTGTACTCTTACGCCTAAAATAATTCATTGCATTATTTAGAGAATCTAAGTTTTAAGGCAGAGTGGCTATTCAATAACAAAGTTGTTACCTTTTCTTGAGACCACAATGCATTACCAACAGTAGTAGTAAAATGATGCTAAATGCATGGGCCTTTTGGAGGCTCTCATTAGATACCCTTACTGCCTACCTTAGAAAATAATTCTGCTAAATCAAGCATGTTATTCTCCTATCCATAAGGAAAAATAAAATTAGAGACAGCAAATAGTTCTCACCAGCTAATTGCAGACTAGTGTAAAACTTAGGTTGTTTCACCTCCCTGCTTTTTTTCTTTTTAATAGATGAGGATGGTCTTGGTATAAGTATTATTGGAATGGGTGTTGGAGCAGATGCTGGACTTGAAAAGCTGGGAATATTCGTCAAGACGGTAACAGAAGGTGGTGCTGCTCAACGGGATGGCAGGTAAATTAAGGACTGTTGTTAACTTAAAATCTTTAGGGAACTTTCCTGTAAGTTTCTTTCAGTTGTAGCTTTTTGCTTTTGTTTGTTGATTTTTTAGGACAGAATTTCAGGTTTCTCAGATATGAGAAATCTTAAAACACTTAAATTATTTTCTGATATGCAGGCAAAATATCTGCTTTCTTTAATTTATATTAGGTAAATGAGTGGGTAGATCTATCAGTCTATACCTGTCTTTATCCATTCATCTATCTGGTGGGAAGTGGGCAGAAACATGGGTGTATATAGTTGAGAATGTGTACTATGGAGGTCAGCACATAGTTTCACTTCAGAAATATTGAAAGAAATGATAATAGTTCTGGCATCTTAAAAAATGACACAGGTATATGGTAAGTTAGGGACTTTAATTCTGTATTGTTGGTAATTCTGAAGGTCAGTGTTTCTCCAAATACATTTATGTAAAAACACAGATTCTTGGGTACACCTAAACCAGTAGAATTAAAATCTCCAGTAGAGGAGTCTGGCAGTCTGCACCTTGGATAATTCTAGTACACAGCAGAGCATCCAGATAATCACTGTTTTGTCTTAGCTTTCATAATCTCAAGCTCTATCTATCTATCTATCTATCTATCTATCTATCTAGGGCCAAGATTTTGATTAACCCTCATACTTGGCTCTTATATATCAGGGTGGGGCTAGAAGCAGAAGGTGGTGTCTTAGTTTGTTTTGTGCTGCTGTGGCAGAATACCTGAGACTGGGTAATTTATAATGAACAGAAATTTATATGACTCATGGTTCTGGAGGCTGGGAAGTCCAAGATTAAGGGGTGACATCTGATGAGGACCCTGCAGGTGAATCATCCAATGGTAAAAGGTGCAAAGGCCAAGTGAGAGAGAGCAAGAAGGGGCAAAACTTGCTTTTATAACAAATGCATTCTCAAAGAAATAAGTCCACTTCCACGATAGTGACATTAATCTACTTGTGAGGGCAGTGCCCTATGACCTAATCACCTTTTCAAGGTCTCGCCTCTTAACACTGTTGCGTTAAGGATGGTTTTCAACACATAACATTCAAACCATAGCAGTTGGCAATATAATAAAAGTAGACCCAAATGTATGACTGCTAAATTCAAAGAAATATTATGTTGTTTTATGTACATTTAATGAATAGCTTTAAATTTTTTTATGTTTAAGTATGTATCATTTGACCATCTTATCAGGGAATAATAAAGCATGTTGGAAAGACTTTGTGAATGTCTGAGGAGACCCAGAGCAGCATTTTTTTTTTTTTTTTTGAGATGGCATCTTGTTGTGTTGCCTAAGCTGGAGTGCAATGGCATGATCTCTGCTCACTGCAACGTCCACTTCCCAGGTTCAAGTGATTCTCCTACCTCAGCCTTCTGAGTTGCTGGGACCACAGGCGTGGACCACCATGCCCAGCTAATTTTTGTATTTTTAGTGGAAACGGTTTCACCATGTTGGTCAGGATGGCCTTGAACTCCTGACCTCAAGTCACCTCAAGATCCATCTGCCTTGGGCTCCCAAAGTGCTGGGATTACAGATGCGAGCCACTGCGCCTGGCCCATTGTTTCTGTTTTAATCCTAAAAATGCATATTGATACCCACTGATAGTTCTCAAAGAGAGCTAAATTGATTTATGTAAATAGAAAACCACACCTTATTACATCTTCTTTTCCGTGAAGTTAGGGATAACATCTTAGTCAGTAGCTTTGTATTCTTATAGCACTTAGTATAATGCTTTGCATAGAGAAGGTTTGAAATAAATCTTTTGAGTGAACATTCAGCTGACTACATTTAAAACAAAGAATGTGGAATATGACTATCTTGTGTCTTAAAGTAACTTACTAACAGTCTTCCTCCTTTTCAGAGTAGTTAAGGAAATAACCTCTTTGTGCCCCTTTAATAAATTATAGATAATGGTGGTAGTATTTCCAGTTATTAATTTACCACATTTCTTCCAAGAGAGCTAAAACTTGTTTGTAAAATATATCGCATTTCTTATTAAGTTTGATGAAAAATTTAAGATGGTGGGAAATAATGCTATCGTTAGTATTCAAACATGCTTAATTATTATGAACCATCCAGAAAGCCAAATCAAAGTACAACTTGATTAAAAGAACAAAAAATCAGAATATTTTACATTCATAGCCATGTAACACGTGTCCTGAAAGAGAAAAGAAAGAAAAAGAAAATTTTGCACTTAGTAGTTAGCCAATTCCTGTTGTTCTAAACATAGACATAGTTATTTTTCCCTCAATCGTTTTAAAATTAGGTTTGTTTTCTATTAATCTATTTACTAATTATTTATTCTTCTACATGGTTTCATTATTTATAACTATATTAGAACTCTGCTTTACCAGTCACAGTGTACATTTATTTCCTCAGTTCTTTTAAATGAGTATTTTCCTAGTATACTAATCCTGTTGTTGTTATAATAGGTGCTTAAAAAATGCCTCAGTGAATATATTAAGACAGGCAACTTGGGCCAGGCAAGGTGGCTCATGCTTGTAATCCCAGCACTTTGGGAAGCTGAGGCGGGTGGATCACCTGAGGTCTGGAGTTCGAGACCAGCCTGGCCAACATGGTGAAACCCCGTCTCTACTAAAAATTCAAAAATTGACTGGCCGTGGTGGTGGGCACCTATAATCCCAGCTACCCAGGAGGCTGAGGCAGGAGAATCGCTTGAATCGAGGAAGTAGAGGTGGCACTGAGCCAAGATTGTGCCATTGCGCTCCAGCCTAGGTGACAGAATGAGACTGAGTCTCAAAAAAACAAAACAAAACAAAAAAAACCTTGATATGATGGAATGGACAGAATCTTTAAGATAATGTAACCGGGAGCCTTCATTCCATTCCCTCTACTTATCTTCTGGGGATATCGAACAAATTACTTAATTTTCATGTTATCTACATTGTGGGTTGTGGTAAGCATTAACTAAGTTTGTGTGAATAAGCATTAACTAGGTTTGTGTGAATAACCTTCCACAGTGCTATTTGTATATATGAAACTGTTCTTGAACCAAGTAAGAGTAAGCTTGAAACTTAATTTAAAAAGTAGTTATTATGGGAAAAGCCTCGTGGAAAACAATTAAAGGTGTACAACATAAGTACAGAATCAAAATTTTAGAGGTCACAGAAACTTCAGAGTTCTTATAATCAACACATTTTCTTGTTTATTAATAAGAAAATTGAGGGTGGTTGTATATGTGCATATGTGTGTGGGTATAAGAAAATGAGAAAATAAAATGATTATTATACTTACAACAGATTTATATCTTTTAAATTATTATTTCTACCACTACTGGTGTGCTCATTTGCACAGTGTTTACTGTTTACTGATGTTTACTATTTAAAAGGTATCAACATACAAAAATTATACAAAGTGCACTTCCTCTAGTCAATAATACATTTTAAGTTATATATACTTACTGATATAGAAAAATATTCCATTAAGGATTTACAAAATCTTAATGATTAATATGATGCCATTCTTGTGTAGGGTATATATTCTATTTCTTCTTTTCTCTGTCTCTGTTCCTTTTTGTCCTTATCTCTCAGTCATTCTCTTTCTGAAAAAGTCTAAAATTAATACATACAAAAATGTTGAACGGCTCTAGTTGTATGGATTTAAAAAAATTTTTGGCTGATATAGAATATCAAATTTTGTAGAGAATATATACGACTTGTGTATAGTTTCTCAAAACTAAAAATGATAAGGTTTCCACCCCAAGGAAATTACTCATCAGACCTCATTTATTGACGGAATTAAAGTTCTGGGTTAGATATTCTGTAAGGTAGTTCCTTTTAGCCTTGAAAGGATAAGATTCTTTATTATTGTTTTCTAGCTGCTTTAGATTCTTAATAACTCTTTCTATTTAAGAAAATTTGTTTCAATTTAATCTCAGATTTAGTCATACCTCCTTCAAGGAATGTTAAATGAGCATACATGTATATATAGAGGACGTTTTTTCTCCCCCTCCTCCCTCCTTCCTGCCCCCACAAGAAGCTTTTTCATTGTGATTGTTTGTATTCCTGCTTAAATGGCTTGTAAACTCTCACCACATTTTGAGTACTTTAAAAAATTTGCGGTGGATATTTATCCTCCTGAGTTTATCCAGTATAGTTGAAAAGTGTTGACCCTTCATTATTCTTTGATATGATCTCTTACCTTCAAAATTTTCTTTTGTCAAGCTTTTCATGTGTGTACTTTCTCCTTTGATGCCTTAAACCTAGAGTGTACTCAGTAAATATTTGTTGAATGAGTGAATCCTTGTGCTTTAATCACTTTTTATTTTTATTTTTTATTTTTAGAGGCGAGGTCTCACTATGTTGCCCAGACTGACCTCAACCTCTTGGGCTCAAGTGAACTCTCCACCTCAGCCTCCCAAGTAACTGGGAGTATAAGCGAGTGCCACCATGCGGGGCTTTTAATCACTTTTGAAACCTTTTCTTGGGCTTATCATTTTTCTCTGTTTTGTTTTTGTGCTACCTGCCTTTTACAGAGTGGCTTATAATTTAGTTGAATGACATGACAGTCATTTCTATTTCCTGTTTCATTTCTATTTCCTGTTTCATTTCTAAATTTTTAGTAAAATAATATTAAATATACTATTAGTTTTTGTTGTCATAAATGTAATTTTTGGGATTGCACACAGGACACTTTCACACACTAGTGATTTTCCAGTCCTCGTTCATGATTCCTTAAAGCAAAATTAGTTTCATAAAAACAACTCAAAATGCTGAATTGTAGAGTAAATCACATGGATGGTAACTGACAAAGGATGTTAATAATGCTGTGCTAAATTAGAGGCAAATAAAAAATCCATTTTGGATCCACTTTGTTTTTGGGTCCTGTTTTTGTTTCACAGGCTTTTGCTCATCATCATTTTCAATCACTGTCCTTTTCAATTTTACTGGAAGAGATACCAAATATGAAATTAAGGTTCTATGTAGTTTATCCTCATTCAAGTATTGATTTTTAAAT